ACCTTCATTTGTTCATGTGTTGTTGATCTCTCATTAAGGCCTGCTTGGGGGCCATAGGGAGCATTCTTGTTAACTTCATCTATTTAGATTCGTCCTAGTAATTATTCATTGGTTGATTGCGTGTGGTGACAACTTTTTTTAAATTAATTATGATCCTGGAAGTTTTTTGGATAAGCTTATTTTGAACAAATATTACTATATTAGTAACATAGTTTAAACTTTTGCAACTGTAACTTTCTGTTATGAACTAATGCGCCCTTGTTGATAGTTTACATGAATACGAAAAAGTCTCGTCTGCAGAAGAAAATTCCGTGTTGCCTGTTTTACCAAATTTATTATTGTCAATTGATGTTACATCAGGTTTCTTTTTTAGCATGTTAATTTGAATCTCTGTGCATAAACAAGGTTCCAAAATATAGCCAATTTTGATGAACATATGCCGTTGATTCTTGTTTATTAGTTGACTAATTAATGCTTACACAATTCTGGGTTGTTATTTAATTATTGAGAATCTTATATTGTATATAATTTTAGGTGGCTTTCAAGACCAAGGTTTTCCATCCTAATATTAATAGTAATGGTAGCATATATCTTCATAGTCTCAAAGAACAGTGGAGCCCTGCACTCACCAGCTTAAAGGTACAAGGTATCTATATTTTCTTTTACGTAAAAGATCCGTGCTTGCTTCCTTTATATGTTGATAGAATATTTATTAAGGCAGAAAAAAAAAAGATGTTTGCTGGAATTTTGTTGTATTTCTTAAGAGATCTCCTTATACCGTGATTTTTCTTCCTTTGTTCCGCCGAGCAACTTATTTATTTATTTGAATCTGGTTGTATAAATGTTATTGTAACGCTATCACTAGGGCTTGAGTGAATTATCAACCACATGATGTAGTATCTGTAATATTATTGACCAGGTATTACTTTCAATTTGTTCGTTGCTGACTGATACGAATCTCAATGATCCACTTGTACCTGAGATAGCCCACATGTACAAGACCGACAAAGCCAAGTATGTGTCCACTGCTCGTAGCTGGACTCAGAAATATGCCATGAGATAACGATGAAGCCACCATTGCTCTGTCCTATATATATATTTAGGTTTTCATATTTGAGCTCGTGACCTTTTGATTTGGTATTCTGTACTAATAGTGATATATTGAAAAACATATGGTATGAGGCTCTGATTGCTTTTGCTTTCCTGTACTACATGAACTTATGTGGCTTGCTCGAGTTGCAAAATTTCGACTTTGACCTTTTTTGAGGTGAAAATTCTGTTGATCCGAATCGCGTGTATCGTTTTTCTTTTGAGTATTATTATCATGGCCTCAAAAAAATGAATCTAAGTAGGTGTTATGATGGAAATCATAAAAGAATCAGGTTATTTAAAAAGAGGAAGAATTTAGCCTCTCAAAGTCAACTGATCCTGGATTTACTTTCAAGATTGAGAGACAAAAACTGAAACCAAAAAACAATGCGTATGCTAAATGTAAATCTCGCGCGTACATAGTTTCAACTCTTGCAGACACAAGGTATTTTTTCTCGCATAATCACGTGGAATCCAAACTATTTAAGAAAAAGAGAGAGGAACGAGTGTAACTCGAGCTCGATTCGTTAAGGCTCGAGTTAGAGACCTTAACGAGCCGAGCTCGAGCTCATTTAAAGTCCATTTAGTTAACGAGCAGAGCTCGACTTGATAAGACTCGAAAAAAAAATTATGTAATTTTTTATAGTTCTACTCGTTAAAGCTCGCGATCGGCTCGAACTCAACTCGTTAATAGTGATAAACGAGCTGAACTCGAGCTCGATTTCTAGGTTGTTTATTAAACGAGCCGAGTTATAGTTAAGGGCTCAAGCTCGGCCGCTCGGGTCAGCTGGTTTTACAGGCGTAGCTGAAATGTACCCGGCCGTTGATTGGTCAAAAGTTAAATGATATTTTACACCCACAATTATTCCAAAACTCCTGCGCTGGCTGTGAATCTTCTTCTTGGCTCTCCGACGTCCGTCAATAAAACCTCCGATTTCTCAAATCTATAGCTCGCACACTATTTGCATTCTTTTCATCTCCCTCAATCTCCGACACCTGCTGTTATCACATTCTCGTCGTCCTAAGCTTCTTTTTGTTTCAATTGACAAGAAATTGTACGAAGGTCACAAGGTATGCTAATATAAATGTTTCAGCTCGAGGAATTTCAGAACCCATTCATGAGCTTGGCTCAACAATGTTGGGTTGTGATATTATTGCTTTGTGATGCGTGTTAATTTGAATGATTGTGGGCTTCAGTTGATTTCATCTCATAGGCTCTGTTTTTGGCCATTTGGGTGCAGATCTTTTTTGTTGTGTTGGGTGTAGAATCAGTTTCTATAAGAAACTGATGGGAAATTGCATAGCTAAGGTATGCAGGTGGCTCTCTCAAGTTCAGATTGTTGCATTTGCTGTCCAATTTGGGTGCTTTGTTTCTTTGAAAAATGGAGTACCCAACATTTTTCATCTTCACCTGCAAGCAATGCTAAACATTCTTTCTTTCACACGGATTGCAGGAAAAGAACTACGGGGATGATTCCGATCATAATTTTGAGATTGCCGGTGGAAATGTCCACCTCATCACGACAAAAGAAAGTTGGGAACAAAAATTGGCCGAAGCACAAAAAGATGGAAAGATCGTAAGAATTCATCTCGCCAGTGTAGCCTATTGTGTCTAGTGCTGATCTTTAGAATTCAGTTGCAAAATCTTATATGTGGTGATGTCAGGACTACATATTCATTTGTTGGTATTTTGCCTTAGATTATGCCATTCATCCACATGATCATAATTGTGCGTGCACACACACACACACACACACAGAGTATCTAAGGTGAGTTGTTCTATCCACTGATTTTAGAATTGTATACTCTGCTATATTTTATTTTCTAAAGGTACATCTGCACTACAGTTCAAGAGAGGAAATACTCTGGTTCTGCTAGGCGTACTTCTTAGTCGTAGACTCCTAGCTGTCAGATATTCAAATCTCTATTGTAACTGTGAGATATCAACAAGTCATTGATAACTTCCGGAAAGTGAGGTTTTATTAAAGGATCAAAATGCTGCAGATTGTATCATGATAATTAATTGCACTTCATTTCACATTGCTTCTCGATCCTCCTCTACCAAATCAATTTATTTTGTTCAACTTTCCATTTAGTTTTATGTATTCTTGGAGATTACATGCTTTGTAACTCTAGCTGAAGGTTTAGCTGCCGGACTTGGAAAGAGTTGATGGCTTTAGTCGCATTGGTTATGGATAAATAGCACACATTCTATCCATTATCTATTGTTCAGTATTTTCTGTAGGGATGTACCGAACTGTACCATTTCTTAATTTACAATAATGATGTAATAAATCGCTACTTTATAGCACATCTAAGGCGGTCCAGATCACACTAAATCAGTAAGAATGGGGTAGAAGAAATGGGACGCTTAGGTTTCCACTTCCTAAGTTTGTTGATTCCTCTTTTTTTTTTTGTCGACACAACTTGTAAACTTCAAAAATGTTTCTTTCACGCGCAATTCTTATAAAAAAATGAACAAAAAATTTGGAGCTAGGCTCGATAGGTAGTCTTCAACTATAGCATACTGTTTCTCAATATATTGCCCATGGTGCTCTTACTGTCAAAGCATTCCAAAGTTCACTTGCAACATGTTTAATGCCTCGAATCACCTTATCCGCATAATTGTGGGGAAGCATCATGTATTCATGTGTGTAAGAGTATTGGAGATGGGCCACATTATTAATCGTGGGTTAAACCGCTCAAGATAACTCTGGTCTACTTATGCTTACTGAACCTAAGGTGGAAGTTTTTATTTTGCTTTTTAACATTGGATGATGACAGGTAGTTGCCAATTTTAGTGCTGCATGGTGTGGTCCTTGTCGAATGATTGCGCCTTTCTTTGCCGAGCTCTCTGAAAAGCACCCTTCACTTATGTTTCTGACAGTCGATGTCGATGAACTTACTGTAAGATGATGTGTTGTGCTGACAGCTGTTCCTTTTGATAGCAGAGGCATATGCATGAGTTTATTATTCTTTACTATGCAGGAATTTAGTACATCGTTGGATATCAAGGCAACCCCGACCTTCTTCTTCCTTAAAAACGGACAGCAACTCGAAAAACTTGTTGGTGCTAACAAGCCTGAATTGCAGAAGAAGATAGATGCCATTCTAGATTCAGAGAACCCTTGCTCGACATAGTTTTATTACCAGACAGTGTCATTAAAAGGGGAACAAATGACTGATCATTGTGTGGGTGTTTTGTGTTGTGAAGAAAGCCCTCAAACTGCATAATGCTTGTGTAATATAATTCAGAGTCCATTTGTATCTGCATGTTGATTTTTTTTTTTTTTTTTTTTT